TTGTTTAAAAATATAGAAAAACAAGTTTTTATCTTCATCAAATTTTCTTATTTTAAGTTTGTTTATATAATTAATTCTAGTAAAAAAGGGTTAAAGTTAATATGACTGAAAATACAAAAATTCTACATTGTTTACAATACAATAATAGATTAACAATTAATACAGAATCCAAAAATATAACAAATGATATATTTGGTATTAATGGTTAGTACTGATAACCAAGCCTATTCAATTTATGATAAAATCAAGCAAATTTTTACACGTATCTCGAAGGGGTATATCATAAAGGTCATAAAAATATAATTCAAAAGTGCTGTAGTAAACTGAAGTGAATCAAAAGAGTCATGCAGACAAGAGTTTATGTTCCCAGAAGAAAACATCTAATGGTGACTACATGGCAACACATTGCTATTGAACATATTTTCCTATGAAGAGAGGCTCATATTCAGTTAAAATATATTAACAGTTAAAATCGTGATAATTCTTATCTGGTGGTCGCTAATAGTTTTTCACAAAAATAGTTAGCTCCTAAACCAGTTATGAATAGCATTGTTAAATTATATCTTCGTGATCTTTGTGACATACTCTTTCGAGTCACATATAAAAATTTGTGCGATGTTATCATCAATTGAATAGTCTTGCTTGTGATAATTTGAATGTTAGTATTTACTTAGAATACGCGTATAATTAAATAAGGCCATTCTATATTGTGAACTCCTTTAAAATTAAAAAAATATTGAATAGTACAAAATTACATCAAATTCATATGAAACATACGTAATCTATTAAAAATACAGAGAAGTAAACATATTTAAAAAAAAAACACCGGAAATATAGTATATGTACTTTTACTGTCGGGCACGTGATATCACGAATTTGTTTGTCTACGATAAATATGCACTTACAACATTTATCTTTTCTTCCTTTCTTAAATGCAACTGAATTTTATCAGTCTGCGATGTGATTATTTTATTGTAGTGTGATATTTTATCAAGTACGAATACGTTTTTATCAAAAGAATCAGATTAAATAAATTGTATTAATGTACTACATACCTATATACATAACAATTTACCGTTAAATTTTTTGTTTCAATATCTTTTATTACAAAATTTGTATCACAAAATATACACATGGCTTTAAATTTGTAATATAACCTGAAAAATAATTCGTAGAATGTATGAGAAAAGAAAAATGAAAATATGTAATTTTTAATTTCTGGTTTTATTTTATACCTAATTGTTTGAATGTTAATGTATGTTTAATTTCAATGCTGTTTTTAATGTTTTTTTATAAGCTTTGTTCAAATCAATGAAAAAAGGGATATAAAATAAATTAGAATTACTATGAATTACTCATTATAACATTAATATTAATTTAAACATTATAGCAAATCTTATGTACATATATTGCCAGGTACGAAATATATTTTTCAAATTAAGCCAATTTATTATAAATAATTTAACACGAATTACAAGATAGCGTACCATGCGTTTGAAAAACGCATTATAAGTTTAAACATTTTCTTGTAAATTATTATATTTAACAAAGATTTGCACGTACTTTAAATTGCAACCTTGTATAATAATTTTTTATAGTTTTGTATTGATACATGCAATACGATCTTTAACATAAAACGTTTAATTGTTTTATCTATAGGATTATTGTTAATTAGCATTGATATCAATAAATGATACATTTTAAAGCAATTATTTACATAGTTTATTTCTAAAAATCAATATTTATTTTTAATATTTTGAATTATTTTCATAATCTTTATGGAAAATTCATTCAATTCTTGTATAAAATCATTCTTGTATAAAAACTTTATATAATTTTCTTACTTACGATTTTGGAGTAATTCTAATATTATTACTACAGAATAGTTTATCATATAATATTGCATTATACCTACTTAATACATAAATATTTAACAATTAAAAGAAAATTATGTAATTAAAACGAATATTTTTTATGCTAATTTTGTCTTAGAAAAATATTTGTATGAAACATAATATTTTATAGAAATGTTTCCAAAAAAACTGGGAAATTGTTTAATAAAATATTTTACAATATGTCTTAACACAATTTTTGTACATCTCACTCTTCTTCCTCTTTTCCTGTTTACTAGCATCCCCCATGCAACTACACAATACAATGTCAACTTACACTCGCTCAGTCACCACTTGCAATCTAGTTGTAAATACGTTAATATAAATAATCAAACAACAATAATAACCAAATAGTGATAACACAATTCTTATATTTATTTGATGGATACATTTTACCTGTTTCTACAAAATCACCCAAAAATTCAACACAGCTTCTCATGAACTTACATTTTTTAATGTTTAATTAAAATCCATAATTGCTAGCTGTTTCAAGAATTAACTTTAGATACAACAAATTCTCTGTTTCATTAGAAGTTGATACAATAACATCATCCAAATACATTAATGCATTACCTTTGTTAGTTAAATCGCGAAACATATAATTCATAAATCTTTAAAATACAAAAGGAGCATTGTATAAACTAAATGGTATTTTAAGAAACTGATATTAATCATTTTTTGTAACAAATGAATTTTCTGCTATCTATTTATTTTGTTAGTCATTTACTAGAAGGACATACCTATCTGTTCCAATAAGATTCAGAAAAGATAAAACCTATTCCACTAATATCTTATTAATTATATTCTACTTACCTTACTAAAAATTTTCCTATATAATAATTTTTCATACAATAATACTGTATACTCTGTAAGATTCATAGAATACTATAAAAGACAGAAATTTTAATTAATATCATAATTTTAATATAATATCAAACACTTAAATATATTCATTACCTTTATGTACATTTCATACATTTCATTAAAGAAATTTTTTATACCATCTTCATTTTTACTGTCATGTACCATGACAAATCGGATATGTGTTGCAGTAACAAAAGCACTCACAAACCATTGGTTAAATTTATCTACAACTTTTAAATGCATATTTGTTGTTTTCCATGTATGCTCATCAACGAGATCTAATGCAGCATGTGCAATAAATTGGTTTAAATGGGTAAAAATATAATGCATGAGATAACAAACAAGTATGTATTACCATTTTTTGTTTAAAATTTTAAGATTCTAATTACTAAAAATATTATGCAGTACTATTTACAAATATTATGATGTGAATACTATAGTAGTAGGTTTGATTCAGTTTTATAACTTATGAAATAGAGAATAAAAATATACTTTTGAAACGTATATAATAGATTTTCGTGATAGTGTGTTAATAGCAATCAATTATTAATATTAGTGTCAATTGTGGAGTAAATTTATTGTGCACTATTTAAATATAACCTATAAAAGGAACAAACCTTTGCATCTTTTCCAGAATTATTAAATTCAATTTCAAATAAAGGATTATCGGTATGACCAACGATTGCAAAATAATAATTAGCCATCATAGCGTTAATCTACTTGATGTAATTTTAATTCATTTGCATAAATAAACACTTTTGGACAACCAGATCTTTTTCTAAATAACTAAACTGTTATCAATTACTTTTAGCAAGATTAAGAACTTTAATATATAAAAAAAATTGTTAAACATTACACTTTATTATACGTATTAGAAGTATATCACGTATTGCAAGTATATCACTGTTATCAATTTAATTCAATAATTTTCCATATCACTCACTACATAGTTGAATACATTTTTACAATACTGACGTGAAATGGCAAAGTAAAAAACTAATTGTAAACAAAGTGAAATGTGACAGATCATTTTATGCATTTAAAAATAATTTAACAAATTATTTTATTCTATAGTTAAATAAACAAATTAGCATATACGTACAATTAAATATTATATGTCTAGAGATTGAAAAGTAAAATAATTGAAAGCCATACTTACACATCGAGAAAAAATTAAATTTTTGAAAATAATTTATTATCTTTTGATAACAATATTTGAATTCTTCGAAGATAACAAAAGCATTCAATTGTAGTTATAAATTTAAAAAATACTTTTTTGTAAATATTTACACATGTATTATTCGTTTTTATTTTATCATTTAAATTTTCTGACGATGTTATTTAATTTTACATTTGTATACAAGAAAGATTATTTTTAGTTACAAAATTACGCAAAATTGTATATATGGAGTTATTTTCGAGAGTTAGCACAAGCATGGTATAGGAACTACGATGTGTAAATTACAGACCATATTAAGAAGACAAAACTAACATTTAAATATATTTTGTAAAAATTGTCAAAATGTTTATATGTATAATTACTGAATATACATAGTATATATGCTGTTTTGCAATTAAATATTGCAATATTAGGATAAATTGTCATGTTAAATATAAGATTTTGTTCAGATGTTAATGTAGTTTTTTTTTTCGTAAAAATCGTTTTAATTCAAATATGTATTTTTTAGTGTCGTGTAGTGTTTGCAGATTGCTGATGCATGTAGATAAAGTATATGTACATAGTCTGTATTAACAATGTGAACGGATGTGCGATAAAACTTGATGATATCAAGTATTTAACATTGTCAGCAGTTAAGAAGTTCACTATTAAGGTATCAAAGGCACATATTTCATCAACTGTTTCATAAGTATTTTTAATTATAATTTTACAATAAGGATAAACAGAAGGATTGTTTATCTTGATTCAATTTAAGGTAAAATAAAATTTATTTGAACATACGATTTTTTCTCAGTAATTTGCATTTCTGCATTTTTTCCTCTATCTTCTTTTGCTTTCATGTAATACAATTTCTGTCTATGTCCTTGTGTTGCATCTGTACTTTATTGTTATTGGCTTGTATATTCTCTTATGCAATGTTCTATTATCATGATAATTGTTTAACTGCTGTTGGTATTCTCAAGATAATAAGAAACAACTTCTTGTGAATCATATTGACAAATGAATCATAAATAAAATTTACATTATCATACATAAATTTCAGTGTAAAGTTGTGCAAGAATTCATTAATAATTTACTTGTTGATTTTTTCTAGTTGAGTTTTAGTATTAGAAGATATAAATTTTACTTTTGAAAGCAGCGTATGTAGTTAAGTTATGCTACTGTTACTTTAACTGATTATTCTGTTATTTTCAGAAACATTGTTTTAAATTAATTAAAATGTGAATATATAGTGTTCTATACAACTGGATCATAAATTACAATAAGAGAAGGAAACATGACTCTTTACATAAATTTAAAGAATACTATGGTTTAAAAATGACCTAGATAATTCTGAATTTATCTTCATATCTACAAAACTTTCTGGGTATTTTAATGTATATCATAATGTTATTAATGTTGGTAAAAGATTCAATTATAAAAATGTTAAAGAATTAAAATAAACTTGAATTCTATCTAAATCATTTACTTTTTTTCATTTAATTGTTTCATCTGTATCTCTCTTAATTGTGAAAAAAAATAATATACCAATTTAAAATAACAATAATAAAATAGTTTTAATAAATTGAAGTGTTTTAATAAACTTAAAAAGGTGTATCTTATGTTACAGTAATTTGACAGAGCTAAAAGTATATAATGTGAGATTATAAATGCTGATAAACAGAAATAAAATTGTTATGTTGAGTACCATATTTGTCTTTTTGCTGTATTAAATTTATATACTTTTGTTATATATCATGGTTCGAAGACTTCCACATATTTCAAATATTAATGGTAAACTAATATTAAACATGATTTAACTTTTATGAATTATAAAAATAACTGATTGTAAGCTTTATCAATATGTAAGTTTTACTTTTTTATATAGGCGTCAGAAGTGGTAAGCATTTTGTACTAACTCTTGTCATTGGCATAATTTTTGGATTTCTCTCAGCATGTCTTTTAATAACATCTACAAGAGATGTACCATATATGTTTAACTGGTTTTCTGGTGGTTTTATACTTTCAAGAGATCCTCACCATTATTCAGAATTGGAATCAGAGGTAATTACATTATATATGATTCATTTTTCTTTTCATTTATTTGTATTCAGTTCTTGATATTAATAAATGTAACAGGCTGGACCTGAAACAGAAGTAAAATTTCATGGTGAAAACGAAGATTTTCATAAAGGTGAAGATACAGTTGCACAAGAACTTGCAAAAAAGGTACGTGTTCTTTGCTGGGTCATGACTGGTCCAAAAAATCACCAAAGTAAAGCACAGCATGTGAAAGCAACATGGGGAAAACGTTGCAATATTCTTTTATTTATGAGTTCTGCTGAAGGTAAATTCTTGTGTTTATATAATATGATTAATAAACAATTTAGATAGATCATCTTTTATACTGCACCACTAAAATTTCTCCTTCAGATGCAAAATTGCCTACAGTTGTTTTACCAGTAAAAGAAGGGAGAGATAATTTATGGGCAAAAACCAAAGAAGCTTTTAAATATGCTTACAAAATGTACAAAGATGAAGTTGATTGGTTTATGAAAGCTGATGATGATACGTAAGTAATTTGCAATTAAAAATTTTAAATTATTGGTGTTAAATTTAAGTCTATGAACAATTTGTATAGAATTCAGTCAAAATAGTGGCATGATTGTAAAAGAGATAATTTTTTATGCAAATATAAATAGGAAATATATAATGGCTTGTTTTTTATATAAGATTTTGTTTCTGAGAAAATTAATTTTGAATACTTAATTTGTGTACTTACTTATAATGCAGATTGTCAAGTGACAGTTTAAGCAGTTGTATTTACTTACATGTATATGATAGTGTTTATTTTCATACATTAAACATTGTGGTTGATAAAATTCAGTAAAATATGATATACATTCGAAAATGTTATACAATGATTAATATAAATTAATTTAAGCAGTATGCATACAGAGAATTTCTTGAATAATTTGTTTTCTCAAAAACAACACTTTGCACAGACAAATTTTATTCTACATTTCTAACAATTGTGAACTAGAAATTAACCCTTTTAGAGTTATACCACAAATTTGACCAGATTTTGAATGAAGGTTTATACTGTTGCAACAATTTAATATTAAAAAATTTCAAAATATTTGATTCATTACAATTTCTTAAGAATATTAAATATAATACAATTTACTGTAAAGTGTATTGCAATATAATTGTGATAATAGTAATGATGAACAATAAAATTATAATTTTGTTTGCTTGTTTTTAATACGACTATACTTTTATTTTATGGTTGGAATTATTTAAATTCTAAACTTAGTAATTTGCTAAAACATTTTCAGATATGTGGTGGTAGAAAATCTACGATATATGCTGTCATCTTATGATCCAAATTCGCCTTTATATTTTGGCTGCAGATTTAAGCCGTTTGTGAAACAGGGATACATGAGCGGCGGCGCAGGATATGTACTTAGCAAGGAGGGTTTACGTAAATTTGTCGAGGAGGCTTTACCGGATAAAACGAAGTGCCGTTCGGATAATGGAGGCGCGGAAGATGTGGAAATGGGGAAGTGCTTAGAAAACGTTAATGTTAAAGCGATGGACACTAGGGATCCACATGGTCGTGGAAGATTTTTTCCTTTTGTGCCGGAGCATCATTTAATTCCCAATCACGTAGATAAAAGTTTCTGGTACTGGGGGTACATTTATTATGATACCAAAGATGGTCTTAATTGTTGTTCCGATACCGCGATCTCATTTCATTATGTATCACCAAATATGATGTATGTTCTGGAGTACTTAATTTATCACTTAAGGCCGTACGGCATCACGCATGCCGTGAAGAAACTTACTGTGGATCAGTCAACCACTGTATCAACTGAATACTAGTCTACATGTTACTTTTAATTAGAATATTATAAATAATGATGAATAATTTTGTTTTTCCTAAATTAAAAATATTTTGGAAATTTTGCAATATTGAAATTTTTTAAGCTATTCTAAAATTATTTCCTATGTAAATTAATAGTTTAATGATTATTTATGGTTTGATCCTT